TGACCAGGTCCACCTTCCACCCTGAAATAAGCCAACCCTGACCAGGTCCACCTTCTACCCTGAAATAAGCCAGCCCTGACCAGGTCCACCTTCCACCCTGAAATAAGCCAACCCTGACCAGGTCCACTTTCCACCCTGAAATAAGCCAACCCTGACCAGGTCCACCTTCCACCCCGATATAAGACAACCCTGACCAGGTCCACTTTCCACCCTGAAATAAGCCAACCCTGACCAGGTCCACTTTCCACCCTGACCAGGTCCACCTTCCTCAATTGACACCCCAATAGCAGTTTTGATCACATCTGAATCTCATAAAAGTCCAAAGATAAATTTACTGTAGACTCTCCCTACGTTGGAGATGTCTTCAAGGAACAAAGAGCAGAAATGAGCATTTGATGTGGGAGGTGAGCTTTTGATGTGGGAGGTGAGCATTTGATGTGGGAATCTTATCTGCAGCCCAAACATCCAGTGCAAATATACAGTATCTTTCCTTCCTTGTTTGTCCAAGCATTCTGCCCTTGTCAACAATTCTGGAAAGCTTTTAAAAGTCTCCTCCAACAGAAAACACAATCAACAGCCAACGGAAGCTGAAGACATCAAAGGGCAAGACTTAACCCAGCCACAAAATACTTAAATGCTCATGACTGTGCCAGTTACTCATGGAATATTATGCTTAAGGATGGCAAGAATTGGCTTTTTCCCACATCCAGACTTCTTCAGCTGTCATGCTGAAGATCATAACTGCTTAGCACAGTAGGCTAAACTGCTGTGCTGGAGACAAATCCTGGTGATCGAAAGGTCAGCAGTTCCATCTCGGATCTGGGTGAGCACATGCTACTAACCCCAGCTCACCTGCCCACCTAGCAGGTCAAAATTGGAAATGTGAGTGGATAAATAGGTACCGCTTTTAGCAGGGAGGTAATAAAGGCACCCTTAAGGTCCTCAATCAGAGAAAAGCTCTTCAGCATGGAGTGACAGCACACACACACACCCATGGCAGGAGTCAAGAACAGCCTCCAACAAGCTGGAAATAAGCCAACCCTGACCCTGACCAGGTCCACCTTCCATCTGAAACCAGTGCCCCCACTGTGAAAGAACATGCAGGTCTAGAACAGGTCGCCAAAGTCACCTATAGACAACCCTGACCAGGTCCACCTTCATCTATCAGAGAAAAGCTCCTCAGCATGGAAGATGGAGTGACAGCACACACACACACCCATGGCAGGAGTCAAGAACAGCCTCCAACAAGCTGGAAATAAGCCAACCCTGACCCTGACCAGGTCCACCTTCCATCTGAAACCAGTGCCTCCACTGTGAAAGAACATGCAGGTCTAGAACAGGTCGCCAAAGTCACCTATAGACAACCCTGACCAGGTCCAACTTCATCTATCAGAGAAAAGCTCCTCAGCATGGAAGATGGAGTGACAGCACACACACACCCCCATGGCAGGAGTCAAGATCAGCCTCCAACAAGCTGGAAATAAGCCAACCCTGACCCTGACCAGGTCCACCGTCCATCTGAAACCAGTGCCTCCACTGTGAAAGAACATGCAGGTCTAGAACAGGTCGCCAAAGTCACCTACAGACAACCCTGACCAGGTCCACCTTCCATCTGAAACCAATGCCCTCACTGTGAAAGAACATGCAGGTCTAGAACAGGTCTCCAAAGTCACCTACAGACTCACCGCCAAGACTCTACACTTGGAAGGCCATCCTACTTGGACATGAGTGATCACTGATAATGAGATACTGAAGACCTTCAGAAGATTTTTAAGATCCAACCAAGAAAAGGAGAAGAGTGTTATATCATCTGCATACATCTCTCTATATGCATACTCTCCCCTCTCTCTGTGTGTATATATTTCTATGTGTGTCAGTGTATGTATGGTTCACAAAGGCTCCTACATGGCCTGATGGATCTGGACCAAACTGAGAACATACCCTTCATTACACAAAATACTGGTGGGGTTTCAACTAGCAATCCATCTTTCCCAGACCTGAGGAAAAGAAAAAGAACAAAGTGGATTAGTTGTTTCTAGGTGAAGTGGCCCTCTTTGATGTCACTGGGAAAGAATACAAATGTTATTAGGTGACTTGTGAATGAAGAAAGAGAAAATGCAAGAATTCTACACTATTCCTTTGTTCTCCCTCAAAAGGAGCTGATGGAAGCGGAATTATTAGCTCTGATGGTTTTGGGAATCATTAAAGTAATTTTGTAAATGATGAAAGCAGCAGATTTTGGTGCATCATAAATTAAGATATTAAAGGGGTGTCGCTCAATGAGTCAGGATGCCACCAAAACAGTATAAAAGCCTTCGTTGTTCTACAGTCCTCCATCAGCTTCATCGCTTGCCTTCTCTTGCTTTCCACTCATCTGAGTAACTGGTAAGTATGACTTCTTCATTGTAAGTCAACCTATATCTCTGAAAAAATTGTATTAACAAGAGTTCTGAAGTTTTGGTATAGTGGTGTGTACTACTCTAAGATCTGAATTCTCTCAAAGCTTATTCTACCAATTCCTTTTTTGTTGGTATCTATGGTGGTTGAAAACATGAGCATCACTTCCAGCTCTATTATTATTATTATTATTATTATTATTATTATTATTATTATTATTATTATTATTATTATTTGAAACACAAGATGAGATCACTGTGCTGGCTGTTGTATTGGATCAAATGTCAGACACATCCCAAGTTGTTGTTGTTATTATTATTAGTAGTAGTAGCAATAGTAGTACTATTACTACTACTACTACTATTACTACTACTGTCAGGTTAACATTGACTTCTGATAACCCAGTGAAGGAAAGTCTTGCAAGACACCTTATTTTGAGTCCTATTCAGCTCTTCTCATCTCAGAGAATATGTGGGCTTATATCAATCTATCCATTAAGCAGTTCTACCTATGTACTATAGGCTTCCATTTTAGTTAATGTTATCTTTTCTAGTAGATTCATCATCTCTTGGCGTCTTCAGGGCACAGCAGATTAGACATTCTTGAATCTAGGGAACGTTCAGGCAAATTTCTTGTAAGACCCATGGGTTGGTCTTTTGGTAGTCCACGGTGTCAGTGTTAGCGTTAGTAGCCCACGTAATGACTTCGCCCTTTTTAATTCTGCTGCTATCTTCACAGGATGAAGATAGCAGGGTGATAAAGCAGGGTGATAAAAATAATAAAAATAATATAAATAAAAAACAAAAAACACACGAGTCTTTTGCTTTAAGTAGAAATAAAACGAAGTTCTATTCACTGTATACAAAACAAGACAGAAGAATTGCTCCCACCAAAATATAACAAAAACAATATATTCGGTAAGTCCTCTTCAATCAACGGCCTTATGCAGACATGTAACAGAATAATATACAGTCTCTTTTACTTAGTTGTCTGTAGAGTGACCTTGTCTTGCCGTAAACCAGCTTCAGGATGCTGCGGAACTGCTCCCTGCACCAAACAAAGGCTTTTCAGCTCAAAACGAGCCCTCAAGCAAAGCTTAGAATGCAATGCTTTTTAAACAGGAGGGTTGACCGCTCTCTGTAAGCAGCTCTCATGAGGAGTCCAACTGCAGATCTCTGGGCCAACTGTAGTTTCCGGGCTGTCTTCAAGGGCAACCCAACATAGAGCGCATTGCAGTAATCCAACCTAGAGGTGACTAGGACATGGACCTCCATGGCCAGATCAGATTTCATGAGGTTTATTCTTTATTATTATAACAGCTGCAACAGAAAAAAACCCTGATCCTTTCTAAGACTTAGAAAAAGCCCATTACAAACCTCTAGTAGCAACATACGGTACCCATGTAACTCTCCTGCTATTAAAGCCACTTTAAGTTCTACTAAGGAAACAATGTAAAATAACCATTCTTCAACAATATGTCTGCAATAACACAATTTAAACCTATACACATGTAGCAACTGGCATGCAATGTAGGAAGTCCACTCTACGGTTCTGTGGATTCCATTAATGGTGGGCACTGAAAGGTTTCTGTTTAGTGTCTCTTGTGTTTTCTGTTTAGTGTCCCAAACCATTTAGGGCTTTATAGGTGATAACCTGCACCTTGAATTGGGACCGGAAAATAAACGGCAACCAGTGAAGCTCCTTAAACAGGGCAACCATAGGGTTCTGTAGATTCCATCAATGGTGGGCACGGTAGGAGGTCAACTGAAGGGTTCTGTGGATTCCATCAATGGTGGGCACTGTAGGAGGTCAACTGTAGGGTTCTGTGGATTCCATCAATGGTGGGCACTGTAGGAGGTCAACTGTAGGGTTGTGTGAATTCCATCAATGGTGGGCACTGTAGGAGGTCAACTGAAGGGTTCTGTGGATTCGATCCATGTGGGCACTGTAGGAGGTCAACTATAGGGTTCTGTGGATTCCATCAATGGTGAGCACGGTAGGAGGTCAACTGTAGGGTTCGGTGGATTCCATCAATGGTGGACACTGTAGGAGGTCAACTGAAGGGTTCTGTGGATTCCACCAATGGTGAGCACTGTAGGAGGTCAACTGTAGGGTTATGTGGATTCCATCAATGGTGGGCATTGTAGGAGGTCAACTGTAGGGTTGTGTGGATTCCACCAATGTTGGGCACTGTAGGAGGTCAACTGTAGGGTTGTGTGAATTCCATCAATGGTGGGCACTGTAGGAGGTCAACTGTAGGGTTGTGTGGATTCCACCAATGTTGGGCACTGTAGGAGGTCAACTGAAGGGTTGTGTGGATTCCATCAATGGTGGGCACTGAAAGCTTTCTGTTCGGTGTCTCATGTGATACCTCTCCTGTTCTTTCAGACTCACCTCTATCTCTCAACACCATGGCCAACTGTGGAACTGCCTCTGCTGTCCCATCCTTTGAAGCCACTCCAACCGTTGCCTTTGGATCCGGAGGCTCCAGAGGACTTGGCAGAAGTCTTGACTGTGGCTATGGATATGGCTCTGGCTTCGGCTATGGCTCTGGTTTAGGTTCTGGCTATAGTCTAGGGGGCATCATTGCAGATGCAGCCAGTCTGGGAGTCCTTTCTGGAGTGCAGCCATCTGGCATCAACCAGCTGCCCCCATCAGAGGTTGTGGTCAAATCACCCCCATTTGTGCTCACCGTCCCAGGCCCCATCATCGCTGCCACCCCCGAGCCTATTGAAGTTGGCGGGTATGCCCCATGTGCCGTGAATGGAGTTGGCATTGGTGGATTCGGTAGTGGATATTATGGTGGGCGATATGGTGGATTAGGTAGTGGATATAATGGTAGGCGATTTGGTGGGTTCCTTGGGAATGCTGGAGTCCTGGGACGGAGAGTCAACCTTGGTGGGTCCTGCTTGTAAGTTCTCATAGACCTTTGGCCAGGAAAAGGAAAAACGGAACATCACACAACTGAACGCTGAGGCCTGGTTTTAGCTGAGCTAAGCACCCCTTTCCTAAGTGAAATCCAATGGAACAGTGTTTAGTATCACTAGAAATGAGGTCCACCTATCCCTTTCATGATTCTTCCTTCAGTCTTTAGTTTCCCTCTCTATGTTCTTATCTTTCTCTACAATGCTTCCCTTGAGATAACTGAAGTGCACCAGATCCACAAACCTCTCCTGTGAAGATAGCAGCAATCCAATCCAAGAATGCATAACTTTGAGATGCTGTGAAGAAACCACAAAAACATGTGACACGAATCAAAACTGCAACCATGCATCTAACGGAGAAGCTGTCCATTCCCATGCATTGTTTGTGACCCATCATTTTCTGAATTGCTTGTGTTTCTTTTGGATTTGCCATCTTCCAGTCTTTAATAAAATTGACTTTGCATGATAACACTCTGGTTTTATGGCGTCATTACGAATTAAGAATAATAGAATCACTCAGAGGTCTTGACCGAGGTAGAACCAGTAGGCTTGGGCGGTTTCGTTCGTTAATTTCGTAATTCGTTATTAATTCGTATTTAAATTAGCTTACGATCCAATATTGAGCCATGCAGGAATAGTGTGAGGAGTAAATTAGATTCGAAACAATTTTTTCAATTTATTTCGTAATTATTTTTGTAATTATTTCGTAATTATTTTGTAATTATTTCGTAATTATTTTCTCATGTCTGGTGCAAGTTTTAGAGTTGTTGTGTGTTTTATCACACCAACAGTCAACAATAGAGGGAGAGGGAAGCTTCAGAAGTTCCCCCTGTGCCATTTGGAGGTTTTTTTAGCATATTGCACAATTGCGTCCGCCATTAACGAATCGATTTGTAATTATACGAAATTTCATATATTTCGAAATTTTTAAAAGGAAAATTTCGGAATTATTAAAAAAAACGAAACGCAAGGGCCCCCTAAAAACCAAACAAGTTTAGAATCAAATTTTTCCGTGGTTACCCAAGCCTAAGAACCAGCCCTACCATTAGGCAGAATGGGACAAAGTATTTCGGAAAGCATAAGGTGTTAGGCTTCTGTTGGGACTCCTAACAAAGCAAATAAAACATAATAATAATAATAATAATAATAATAATAATAATAATAATAATAATAATAATTTTATTTATATTCCACTCTATCTCCCCAGAGGGACTCAGGACGGATTCCAAACATAAAAGGCAAACATTCAATGCCTGAATACAACAATACACGCATAATAACAAAATTTATACACCGCAACTAGGGCTGAGCAGTTTCGTTCGTTAATTTCGTAATTCGTTATTGATTCGTATTTAAATTAGCTTACGATCCGGTATTGAGCCATGCAGGGGCAACTAAAAATCGAAACGAATTTTTCAATTTATTTCGTAATTGTTTCGTAATTGGTTCGAAATCGTTTCGAAATCGTTTCGTTATTATTTCCGTATGTCTGGTGCAAGTTTTATAGTTGTTGTTTGTTTTATCAGTGATAAAAAAATAAATTATCACACCAACAGTCAACAACAGAGGGAGAGGGAAGCTTCAGAAGTCCCCCCTCTCCCATTTGGAGGGTTTTTAGCATATTGCGCAATCGCGTCCGCCATTAACGAATCAATTAAAAATTTACGAAATTTCGTAAATTTCGAACTTTTTTAAAGAAAAAATTCGGAATTCTTTTAAAAAATGAAACGTAATGGACCCCCTAAAAACGAAACGAGTTTAGAAACAAATTTTTCCGTTGTTACCCAGCCCTAACCGCAACCTATTAATAAAACCAGGCTTAGATTGTTCGGTTCCCTCCAGTTACCACCCAGTTTCGAATCTTCCGTTCCTGGGCAAGGTGATTGAGAGGGCAGCAGCGGAGCAGTTGCAGCAGTTCTTAGACGACACTGCCGGATTAGATTTATTTATTTATTTATTTATTTATTTCGGTTGCTTCTACCCCGCCCTTCTCACTCCGAAGGGGACTCAGGGCGGCTTACAAAAGCAAGGCACAATTTGATGCCCGCATCACATACAACAATAGGACAAAATAACATCAATTAACAGAAAACAGCAATTCTAGCAATAACATCAATTAACAGAAACAACAATTCTTGCAAGGCGAAAACAACCATAAAACCAGTAAAAGCAATAAAACCAATACAAACCATTTCTCCTCATTGACGGTCAGCGTTTCGCAATCTCATAGTTCGAATTCCAATTCCACAATTGTCAGTTCTGTCAGTCCTATCCATCTGGTTGTCCATATCTAGTTGTCAGATTGCCCGAAGGCCTGGTCCCAAAACCACGTCTTTACCTTCCTCCTGAAGGAGAGGAGGAATGTTGATGCCCTAATTTCCCCCGGGAGTGAGTTCCACAGGTAAGGGGCCACCACTGAGAAGGCCCTGCTCCTCGTCCCCACCAACCTGACTTGTGATAGCGGTGGGGGTCGAGAGCAGGGCCTCCCCAGATGATCTCAAATTCCGGGGTGGGACGTAGAGGGAGATACGTTCGGACAGATACACTGGACCGGAACCATACAGGGTTTTGTAGGTCAAAACCAGCACCTTGAATTGTGTTTGGAACTGAACCGGCAGCCAGTGGAGCTGACACAGCAGGGGGCTGGTGTGCTCCCTGTATGTCGCTCCTGTGAGCAATCTGGCTGCCGCTCTCTGGACCTGTTGAAGTTTCCAAACAGTCTTCAAGGGCAACCCCACGTAGAGTGCGTTGCAGTAGTCTATTCGGGATGTAACAAGAGCATGGACCACTGTGGCCAGATCAGACTTCCCAAGGTACGGGCGCAACTGGTGCACAAGTTTTAGTTGTGCAAAAGCTCTCCCGGCCACTGCTGAAACCTGGGGTTTCAGGCTCAGCGAAGAGTCCAGGATCACTCCCAAGCTGCGAACCTGAGTCTTCGGGGGAGTGGAACCCCGTCCAGCACAGGCTGTAACCCTATGCCCTGTTCCCTTCCAGTCCGGCTTCCGTGTGGGGCACGGGACAAAGACTGTGCTGGTCTCCATCACGGATCACCTTTGATGCCAGCTTGACCAGGGCAGGTCGGCGCTGCTTGTGTTATTGGATCTCACAGCCAGCTGCCCTCATAATCTTTTGACCCACCGCCTCCCTGCTGTTGGAGTCAGGGGGAGAGCTTTAAACTGGCTGTCCTCCTTTCTTCACAACTGTGGACAGTGAGTGGAGAGGGGAGGCCTGGTCTCTGAGAGGTCCCCTCTCTCTTGTGGGGTTCCTCAGGGGGCCATTCTCTCCCCTCTGTTGTTTAACATCTATATGTGACCAGTTGCTCAGCTGGTATTGGGCTTGAGTGTTATCAGTACGTCGATGACACTCAGCTGGTGCTGAAGATGGAAGGCCGACCGGACTCTGTACCCGATTATTTCCATCAATGCCTCGAGGTCGTTACTGGATGGCTGCGTGCCAGCAGGTTGAGGGTGAATCCAGCAAAGATGGAGATCCTATGGCTGGGTCGACCGGGCAGTGGGGATATCCAGCTGCCTACCCTGGATGGCAAGGCGCTACGCCAGTCATCGTTGATAAAGAGTCTGGGAGTCCTTTTGGACCCTCTGCTGAGGATGGAGGCCCAAGTCTCCGCCGGGAGCAGAACTGCCATTTTTCATCTGCAGCAGACTAGACGGCTGGGCCCCTATCTGTATAGGGATGACCTGGCTGTGGTACTCCAGGCTACGGTCATCTCAAGACTGGACTACTGTAACGCCCTCTACATTGACCTTCCTCTATCGGTGATCTGGAAGCTCAAGTTGGTACAAAATGCAGCTGTTCGGCTTCTTGCGGGAATTCCGATGAGATGCCACACCACACCAATCTGACTACAGCTGCATTGGTTGCCAATTGAGCACCGGATCACTTTCAAAGTGATGGTACTCACCTTGAAGGCCTTGCAGGGTCTGGGGCCGATGTACCTGAGGGACCACCTCACCCCCTACCAACCCCAGAGATCTCTCCATTCTGAGGACCAAGATTTATTGGAATTTCCTAGTTTTAAAGCCTTGCGTCTAACAGCAACTAGACGCAGAGCTTTTACAGCAGTGGCACTATCACTCTGGAATACTCCACCAAAAGTCCGTGCCTTGCAGAATTTATCAGCTTTCCGCAGGGCTTGTAAGACATATTTGTTTCGACAGGCTTTCAATCTTTGATATGTTGTTTTAAATTGTGTTAGATTCGAGTTTGTTTCTTGTAAGCCGCTCCGAGCCCCAGGGGAGTGGCGGCGTATAAGTTTGAATAATAAATAAATAAATAAATACGAATTATGACTTAACAAACTAAAATCGAACAAAAAGCACAGACTGTTATAACAGACATAAAACAAAACATCAAATGGAAACAGGAATTTCCCATTTCTTTGGGGCAAATTGATTAATTGTTGCTCAAGATATCTATTTTTTTTAAAATAAATTTTATTAATCAGTTTAAACATAAATACATGGAAAGAGGGGGAATGTTCAGGAAGACGATAGGAAAGTAGGAAACACAATCAATAAAAAAGAACACAAAAGGAGAAAAAAACACACAGAGAGAAAAAAATACGAAAAAATACAAAAATCAAAAATAAAATAAAATGACTTTTATTCCAATCTTAGGATCTTCTTATCTTTTGTTTCGTTATTTTATTTATATCTTCTTTGTCTCTTTCTTTTTTCTATTTTTTTCATAATAATAAAAAAGAACCCAGTCTGTCTTTTTTGTTAAAGAAAAATACCGGGAAATCTATAAAAGATTTTTCTTTAACAAAAAAGTTAGTTCATCCATGTCTCTTATTTCTTTGACCTTGTCCAGCCACTCCTCAATAGTCGGGATTTGTTCTTTTTTTTGACAAAACTTTGCAAAGATAATTCTAGCTGCTGTTGTAATAAATGTTAACAGTTTGTCTTCGTTTTCATCAAGTTGTAAATCCAAGTCAGTAAAGCCTAACAAATAATACTCTGGTTTCTTCTTTTTGTTTAAATTTTTTTGTGTCTCCTCGTGGATTAAAGACCAATATTTAGATGTTTCCTTACATGTCCACCACATATGATAGAAAGTACCTATTTGGTCACAGCATTTCCAACATTTATCAGATGTGTTTTTATACATAAGGCTTTTTTTTTAATGATGTACCACCTGTGGAACATTTTAAACCCGTTCTCCTTCAAATCCATGGCATATGTATATTTTAACTTTTTGTTCCACATTTGTTCCCACTCTCTGAATTGGATTGATCTCCTCAAGTTTTCTGCCCATTTGATCATGCATGATTTGACCCGTTTCTTTTCGGTTAACCATGTTAATAGTTTGCTATAAATCGTTGTAACTATTTTCTTTTCCCTCTTCAAAATTTTATCCCATATGTTTTCATCCCAGTCAAATCCTATTTTTATGTCTTGTTTATAATAGTCTTTAATTTGTAAATAGTGAAGCCATGTTATGTTTTCGTAGCTTGTCTTCAATGGTTCAAACGTCTTAATATCTGTTTTAATTAAAATGTCTTTATATGTCGGCCATATTTTCCAACCTAAAAGTCTCCTTTGATGGGCCCCCATTGGAGAAACCCATAGTGGCGTCGTTTTGTAAAAAGGTTTTTTATACCTCATCCAAGATCTTAATAGTGAGGCTCTAACAAAATGATTACCAATTTTTTTTCTTTAATTTCTCTATCATACCAGATGAAGCCATGCCAACCTACCCTCAAATCGTGGCCCTCCAAATTTAAACATTTCTCTTTCTTTAATGTCATCCAATCTTTTACCCATAGAAGCGCACACGCTTCATGATAAGTTTTCAAGTCCGGGAAGCCAAGACCACCTCTTGTTTTTTTGTCAATTAAATTTATATAATTTATTCTTGGTCTTTTCCCCTTCCAGACAAATTTTAATAAATCTTTCTTCCATTTTTTATATAGGGTCTGGTTTCTTATTACAGGTATATTCTGGAAAAGGAATATTAGTTTTGGTAACACATTCATTTTAACTAGAGATATTTGGCCGTGTAAGGGCAATTTGAGGCGATTCCAGTCTTGGAGGTCTTTCTGGATCTTTTTCCATATCATTTCGTAATTATTTTTAAGAGTTGGCCATTTCTTGCTGAAAGCCAGACTCCTAGATATTTTTTTTGACAATTTCCACACCAAGTTGTTCCTGGCTCTTCTCTTGTTTTTCTTTATCTACATTTTTCAATAACAATTTCATATTCATCTTAAATCCTGCCACTTTCCCAAACTCTTCTATTTTATTAATCCAATTTTGTAAATTATTGCTTGGGTCCTCAATGATTCCTAACAGATCATCTGCAAAAGCTCGAATTTTGTATTCGAATTTCCCGATTTTTGCTCCTTTGATATTTCCATCTTCTCTAAAAAAAATTCATCAGAACTTCCACCGCCATTATAAATATTAATGGGGATAGGGGGCACCCTTGTCTTGTACCCTTTGAAATGATAAATTATTCTGTCATTTGACCATTTATCTTAAATTTAGCTTTTTGGTAGTTGTAAATATCATTAACTGCATTGATAAATTTGTCTCCCATATCCAATTCTTGTATTAATATCTTAAAGAAATCCCAATTTAAATTATCAAAGGCTTTTTCAGCATCTATTGATAATATGGCAAATTCTTTTTGGTGGTTAACCTCATAATATTCCAGAAGATCCAATACTGTGCAAATATTTTCTTTCATGTGTCTATTTGGGAGGAACCCAGTTTGTTCCTCTCCTATCCATTCATTTAAAAATCCTTTTAGTCTCGTGGCCATGATATTTGCAAATATTTTATAGTCTGTATTCAACAAAGAGATCTGTCTATAATTCTTGATGTCTGAGTCCAATGTTCCTTCCTTATGTATTACTGTAATTTCTGCCTCACTCCATGAGTCTGGTATTTTTTGATATTTCATTGCCTCATTTAAGATTTTTTTAAAATATTGGTGTTAACACTTGCATGAATGATTTATAAAAGCCCGCCGTGAACCCATCTGGTCCCAGTGCTTTATCTGCATCCATTTTATTTATTGCTTTTTCCATCTCTTCCTCCGTTATTTCTCGGTTCAATGTTTCCCTGTCCTCGTCCGCAATTTTATGTAGTTTCATCTGATCAATATATTTCATAATTTCTTCTTTCGTTATCTAATCATTTGTATATAATTGGCCATAAAACTTTCTAAATTCCATTAATATTTCCTTGTCAGTCGTTAATTCCTTGTCCTTTGTGATTATTTTTGTTATCTGTTTTATTTGGGTTTTTTTCCTTACTTGGTTTGATAGCCATTTCCCTGGTATTTATTTACGACATTTATGTGCCGCCCTTCTCAACCCTTTCCTTCTTTATTTTTAGTAATTTTAAATATTTTTTCCTATTTTCTCTCTCCATATCTATCTATCTATCTTTCCTTCTATTTTTTCTTTTTTAACATTTCCTACTTTATTTATTTACAACATTTATGTGCCACCCTTCTCAACCCTTTCCTTCTTTATCTTTAGTAATTTTAAATATTTTTTTCCTATTTTCTCTCTCCATATCTATCTATCTATCTTTCCTTCTATTTTTTTCTTTTTTTAACATTTCCTACTTTATTTATTTATGACATTTATGTGCCGCCCTTCTCAACCCTTTCCTTTTTTATTTTTAGTAATTTTAAAATATTTTTCCTATTTCTCTCTCTCCATATCTATCTATCTATCTATCTATCTTTCCTTCTATTTTTTCTTTTTTAACATTTTCTTCTTTATTTATTTACATTTATGTGCCGTCCTTCTCAACCCCTTCCTTCCTTATTTTTAGTAATTTAGTTTTTTAAATATTTTTCCTATCTATCTATCTATCTATCTATCTTTCCTTCTATTTTTTTTACATTTCCTACTTTATTTATTTACGACATTTATGTGCTGCCCTTCTCACCCTGAAGGGGACTCAGAGTGGCTTAAAAGATATATATACATACAATATATTATATTATTAGCATAGTACAATATCAGTATTATATTTTACTATATTGTACTATACCATTATATTATAATACTATTAGTAATATTACATGTAATATAAACATATAAATATAATACCATATTATTATTAATAGTAGTATATTGCATTACATTATCTATATAAATAAAAATGTAATGTTCGTTTCTGGGATTAACAGAACTCAAAAACGACTGGATGAATTGACACCAAATTTGGACACAAGACACCTAACAACCCAATGTATGTCCTTCACTCAAAAAAATGATTTTGTCATTTGGGAGTTGTAGTTGCTGGCATTTATAGTTCACCTACAATCAAAGAGCATTCTGAACCCCACCAACGATGGAATTGAACCAAACTTGGCACACAGTTCTCCCCTGACCAATAGAAAATACTGGAAGGGTTTGGTGGGCAGTGTCCTTTGGTTTTGGAGATGTAGTTCACCTCCATCCAGAGATCACTGTGGACTCAAACAATGATGGATCTGGACCAAACTCTACACGAATACTCAATATGCCCAGATGTGAACACTGGTGGAGTTTGGGGAAAATAGAATCTTGACATTTGGGAGTTGTAGTTGCTGGGATTTATAGTCCACCGACAATCAAAGAACATTCTGAACCCAACCAATGATAGAATTGGACTCAACTTCCCACACAGAACCCCCAATAACCAACAGAAAATGCTGTGTTTTGTGATGGTCTTTGGCGACCCCTCTGACACCCCCTCATGACCCCCTGAGGGGTCCCAACCCCCAGGTTGAGAAACACTGCTATTGTCCTCCCACTTTCAATCTTACAATATCCATTTTCCTTTTCATTTCTTTAAACAAAACCCTAAATAGATATATACATATATATATTTAAAAAGAAAACCCAAAAAGCAAAGAGTTATCATGCAAAATCAATTTTATTGAAGATAGAAGTACAGAAATTCAAAACAAACAGGACAGGTTCAGAAAAGGAGTAATCATAAAGAACACAGGTGAACAAACAGCAACTCCATTGGTTCCACAGTTGCAATTATTATCACCAAAGGCTAAGCAGATCTGTGTTGCGTTAGATTTTTTGGCATAGGTGGTACATTGACGGAGGAGTCCAGGCATTCTATGCTCTTCAATGTGCTCAGTTGAAGGATTGTAGAGAAATAAAGATGGAAACAGAAAGAGACAACAGAGAGACATATATTTAGGACGGTTAAAGAGAGAGGTGGCTCTGATGTCTAGTGGTGCTGAAGATTGGCCCGCTCCCATGGATGTCATCCAAGTAGGGGATGTTCAGCCCAACTAAACCCAGGATTGAGTGTTCCGTTGTGAGATGTTCCGTTGTTTCATTTCCAGGGTCAAAAGTCCATAAGAACTTATGCACAGATGCTGCCACTTCTTCCCAGGAATCCGGAATGGTTCCCAAGATACCCACCGTATAGCCCCCTGTTCAGACCACCATTTAGCCCCCTATTTAGACCACCATAAAACCCACCATAATTCCCACCATAAAATCCACTACCAACTCCACTAAGGCCAACTCCATTCACAGCGCAAGGAGTGTTGCCTCCAACAAGGAGAGGCTCGGGGGTGGCGGAGAGGATGGGGCCGGGGATGGTGATCACAAATGGCGCTGGGTCGATCACGGCTTCTGATGGAGGAAGCTGGTTGATGCAAGATGGGTTCACTCCGGAGAGGACTCCCAAACTGGCGGCATCTGCAACGTTGCCCCCAAGGCCATAGCCAGAACCTAATCCATTGCCGAAGCTGAAGGTAGAGCCATAACCATAGCCAAGATTTCCACCAAATCCTCGGGCGCCAAGACCATAGCTTCTTCCAAATCCTTGGGATCCAAAGGCAACGGATGGAGTGGCTTCACAAGATGGGACAGCAGAGGCAAGTCCACAGTTGGCCATGGTGTTGAGTGATGGAGGTGAGTCTAGAACAAGAGAGATGCCAAACAAAAGAAAGGTTTCAATGTCAACAGTCATGGTAGTAATAGACCTCACAAGGTGAAATCATTCATTTCATTCCAGTCTTTAGATGGGTATCTATTTAAATGTTGTTACCTAATTCTCAGTGAACCCACCATTCAAAATGGATGTGATGAGTCTACTTGACTTGGAGCTCTGCGATAGGATTCAGATCTTAGACCAGTGTTTCTCAACCTGGGGGTCGGGACCCCTGGAGGGGTCGCGAAGGGAGTTTCAAAGGGGTCACCAAAGACCACCAGAAAACACATATTTCTGATGGTCTTGGGGACCTTTCCCGTAGAGAAGGCTGAACATTTATCTGCCTATCCTTCTCTTCCTTTTTGGTGAACTACAACTCCCAGAATTCTAAAACAGGCTCCCCCCAACCACACCAGTATTCAACACTGGCCATGTAGGAAGTGTACCAAGTTTGGTGCAGATCCATTGTGGGCTTGGTTCAGAATGCTCTTTGATTGTAAGTTAACTATAAATCCCAGCAACGACAACTCCCAAATGTCAAGGCCTATTTTCCCCAAATTCCACCAGCATTCACATTTGAACATATTGAGTAGTCATGCTCATGGTCCAGATCCATCATTGCTGGAGTTCACAGTGCTCTCTGGAAGTAGGTGAACTACAACTCCAAAACTCAAGGTCAATGCCCACCAAACCCTTCCAGTATTTTCTGTTGGTCATGGGAGTTCTGTGTGCCAAATTTGGTTCAATTCCATCGTTGATGGAGCTCAGAATGCTCTTTGATTGCAGGTGAACTATAAATGAAAGCAACTACAACTCCCATCTGTCAATGTCTATTTTCCACCATACTCTCTGGAAGTAGGTGAACTACAACTCCAAAACTCTAGGTCAATGCCCACCAAACCCTTCCAGTCTTTTTTGTTGGTCATGGGAGTTCTGTGTGCCAAATTTGGTTCAATTCCATCATTGATGGAGTTCAGAATGCTCTTTGATTGCAGGTGAACTATAAATGAAAGCATTACAACTCCCAACTTTCAATGTCTATTTTCCACCATACTCTCTGGAAGTAGGTGAACTACAACTCTTCCAGTCTTTTCTGTTGGTCATGGGAGTTCTGTGTGCCAAATTTGATTCAATTCCATCGTTGATGGAGTTCAGAATGCTCTTTGATTGCAAGTGAACTATAAATGAAAGCAACTACAACTCCCAACTGTCAATGTCTATTTTCCACCATGCTCTCTGGATGTAGGTGAACTACAACTCCAAAACTCAAGGTCAATGCCCACCAAACCCTCTCAGCATTTTCTGTTGGTAGTGGGAGTTCTGTGTGCCAAATTTGGTTCAATTCCATCTTTGAGGGAGTTCAGAATGCTCTTTGATTGCAGGTGAACTACAAATCCCAGCAACTACAACTCCCAAATGACAAAATCAATGCCCTCCACCTCCGATGCCACCAGTATCAGGTCTTGCGCTAAATTTGCTCCAATGAATGAAAATACATCCTGTATATCAGATTTTTTCATTACGATTCATAACATTAGCAAACTTACAGTCAATGAAAATAATGTTATGGTTGGGGGTCACCACAACATAAGGAACTGTACTAAGGGGTCATAGCATTAGGAAGGTTGAGAACCCCTGTCTTAGACCATTACACCATTCCTAACATGGTATAGCTCTGGGTAAGACCATATTTGAAGAGATACAGATGTCAGTGCAAGGAAGAAGCCATGCTTACCGGTTCCTCAGATGAAGAGAAGGCAAGAGAAGGCAAGCGATGAAGCTGATGGAGGACTGTGGACAGGAGAGGGCTTTTATACTCTCTTGGTGACGTCCTCAGCTGTGACACCCTTTCACAGTTGAGCTCTTAATTACTGATGCTTCAAAATCTGCTGGTTTCATCATCTCCAAAATTACTTTAATAAGACCAAAACAATCAGAGCCAAGAATTCTGCTTCAATCAGCACCTTACAAGGAAAGTCAATGAAACGGTGAAGGATATTCATTCCAACTTGTCATCTTCCATCCATTGATCTGACTCCACACCCAATCCAGTGGGCTTTTTGTATGTTTGTGCTTTCCACTTGCTTCTTTAGTTGTGGTGACACCATGGATTTAATGGGGTTTTTTTTCTGGCAAAGAATGATCATAGGTTTGTTTTTTACCTTCTTCTGACCTATAACATCAGACCCTAGTTCCGTGATGGTGAACCTATGACATGCATGTTAGGGTTAGGGTTAGGGTTGTTGAAAATGAGGCAAGACCTCTAAAGAGGTGGTCCATTTTCCTGCTGAATAATGCTAGATCTGTCAATGGTAAGACCGCTGCCATTCAGGACTTGATCCTGGATGAGAGGGCGGATCTGGCTTGCATTACTGAGACCTGGTTGGATGAGCTGGGGGGAGTAAATCTCACTCAGCTATGTCCACCGGGTTTCAGAGTGCATCAGCAGGCCAGACGGGGGGGGGCGGGGATTAGGGGTCGCAGTAGTCTTTCGGCAATCCATCACCGTGGTCAGATGTGCTGTTCCGCCCACCCCGCGACCCAGCAGTTTCCCTGTCTGAGCTAGCAGAGGTGGTCTCCAATTCGGCCCTGGCTTCCCAGCGCTTGGTGGTGCTGGGAGACTTTAACATCCTTGCCGAGACCTCCTTGTCCGGCGCAGCTCAAGACTTTATTTCCATCCTTAAATTTGTAAAAGGCTCTACAAATTTAACATCTGCATGTTTGAGCATTGTTCACTCCATAACTCACCATGGATTATACATTTTTCTTATTTAAACTATAAATATTGCAAAATTATGGTTTTTTTCTCAGACACTCCACCCAAGTTATGCTCAGGTTTTGGCAAATTTTGACACACTAAGCTCAAAGGGTTGCCCATCACTGCCCTAGTTGGTGGTCTCTAGGCTTGGGTAAGTTCATTCGGAAGCATCTAAAATCGTAATTTATTTACCAACTTTAGCCTCGCTTCATTTTCAAGATCTGATGTGATCTTGTGCCTTTTGGATATCTGGCTCCTTTGTTGTGATCTTATCTTTTGTAAAAGTACACAGAGATTCTCCTATCCATTGACTTAAGATGGATCCACATTGAATATACTGGGCTTTTTATGCAGGTGCTTTCAGGTTTCCAGTTGAGTTGTGGCACCACCTTGTATTTCATAGGTCTTCTTCGAATAGACTATTTAGAGGATATTTTGCAAGTTCCTTCCTTTGAAAGATAACTTACAGGCTCTGGTATTCACTAGTGGTCTCCACAATAGGCTTTTCATCTCTAAGTGGTCTGTTTTCTGCTTCCCTGGAGACTAGGACGCGAAACAATGGCTTCAAACTACAAGAAAGGAGATTCCATCTGAACATGAGGAAGAACTTCCTGACTGTGAGAGCCGTTCAGCTGTGGAACTCTCTGCCCCGGAGTGTGGTGGAGGCCCCTTCTTTGGAAGCTTTTAAACAGAGGCTGGATGGCCATCTGTCAGGGGTGATTTGAATGCAATATTCCTGCTTCTTGGCAGGGGGTTGGACTGGATGGTCCATGAGGTCTCTTCCAACTCTTTGATTCTATGATTCTATGATTCTGTGTTGGTGGCCAACTCCATTAACAGCACATGGGGTATTGCCTCCAACTTCAAGAGGTTCACAGGTGGTAGAGAGGATGGGAGCAGGAGGGTGATCATGACTTCAGGTGGGTTGATCATGACTTCTGATAAAAGAATCTGGTTAATGAAGGATGGGTTCACTTCGGAGAGGACTCCCAAACTGGCTGAAGATGCAACGTTGCTCCCAAGGCCATAGCCAGATCCAAAACCAGAGCTGTATCCAAAGCCATAGCCATATCCATAGCCATAGCCAAGACCTCTGTCATAGCCTCTGATACTCTGGATCCAAAGGCAACAACTGGAGTGGGGTCACAGGATGGGACAGTGTAGGAAGATCCACAACTGGTCATGGTGTTGAGTGATGGAGGTGAGTCTTGCCCATTGGTTCTAGTGTCTCCAGGAACCAAGTGGTCCATTGGTTCTAGTGATGCCAGGAATTTCCTAGAATTCTTTTAGTGAAGGGATACTTAGAGAAGGTGACTTCCTGTTCACTCCTCAGAAACACACCTTACAGCAAATGGGATTTGTTGTCAGTTTCCCATCCGAATACTAGGGTTAAACATGTTTACCTGCCCAGATAGGATTAAATTTCCACATACACCATAGACCTAGAAAGACACATTCAACATCTATTGGAGTTTTTCCCATTTCATACTCAATAAAGACCCTTTATTCGAATAGTAAACAGTAGGCATGGTTAGGTTCGGTCGGAATCTTCATAATTCGAAATAAATTCGGAAAGATTTCCTTTTTGAAGTGATTTCGAAGTTTTTAAGGAAACCAGAAGTCCCTTTGCCCTTCTGAAGCTTTTTCCGCCATTTCTCTTACGAATCAGTGAGTCGGAAATGATTCATCTTTCCCCCCGCTTCTGTTCCCTGGCCTTGGTTCAAGCCAGAGAAGCGTTTTAAACCAGTGTGGATGGATTCCCTTCCTTTCCTTTCCCTCCCACATCAGTCTTAGAGGAGAGAAGCAATTTAAACCAGTGTGGATGGATTCCCATCCTTTCCTTTCCCTCCCGCGTCAGTCTTGGGCAAGAGAAGTGATTTAAACCAGTGTGGATTGATTCCCTTCCTTTCCTTTCCCTCCCGCATTAGTCTTGGGTGAGAGAAGTAGTTTAACCCAGTGTGAATGGATTCTCTTCCTTTCCTTTCCCTCCCGCATTAGTCTTGGGCAAGAGAAGCGATTTAAACCAGTGTGGATTGATTCCCTTCCTTTCCTTTCCCTCCCGCATTAGTCTTGGGTGAGAGAAGCAGTTTAACCCAGTGTGAATGGATTCTCTTCCTTTCCTTTCCCTCCCGCATCAGTCTTGAGTGAGAGAAGTAATTTAAACCAGTGTGGATGGATTCCATTCCTTTCCTTTCCCTCCTGCTTCAGTCTTAAGCGAGATAAGAGGTTTTAACCAGAGTGGATTGATTTCTTCCCTTTGCTTACCCCCCTCCCACCCGCTTCTGGAATAAAACAACTACTTTCAAAGTAAAGACCACCCAATAAACAGGAAATAACACTTTGAAACCACTAACAAAGGATTTGGAAATCTCAGAAGTGTTGAAAAGTTTTGAACATTTTTTTCTGTGAAAATCAGAATTGACTTTAGATCCAAACCTCTACATCTGAAACGAGTTTTGAACCATTTTTTTAAAATCAAACAAGCCTAGTAAACAGTATACTGGTTGTCGAAAGCTTTCATGCCCAGAATCACTGGGTTGTTGTAGGTTTTTCAGGCTGTATGGTCATGTGACCTCACAACCCCTGAGGATGCCTGCCACAGACATCAGGAGAGAATGCTTCTAGAACATGGCCATACAGCCCGAAAAACCTACAACAACCCAGTATATTGGTTATTTCCTGATTTTTGAAAATGTCCTTTGCTAGGCCGAAAATGGATGAGCTAATAGCTCAGAGCTATACCACAAAATATCCCTATGATACCTAGAAACTAGGGGGGTGCAAAAGAGCAGGAAATCATTTGCCCAGGGTTCCAAATTACAAATCCAAACATCTCCCCTCCTAATCTCCCAGAATCTTCCCAAAAATGGAAGGGGGTGGCACCCAAAAACAGAACGAAAACAGAACAGATTCACACATCCCTACTAGAGACCATTTTGTAGATTTCTTTTAACACAGTAGACCCCTTCAGAGGCTCTCATGACACCAAGTTCACCCTTCCTGTAGATACATCAACGTTCTTCTGATGTTAAGCTTCTATCCTCAATGAGGTGTGTTTTGAGATGGGCTCCAGAAACACAGAAGGAGTAAACAAAGCACTTCAGAGGCATTTTGGAGGAAGGATATAGTATAAATAATCTCTTAATAATGGTTTTGTTTGTCCCACCTACCTTTGATGTGTTTGAGTGACACACCTCCCAAAATGTGTACACATGGAAGGCTCTTTAATGTCTTTATCTGTTTCCCAGAAACATAATATGTTTCCAGGGCCCAGAAGTTATACGGGGTGACGGATCTGTTGCTAAGTTGGCTTGTTCCCACTACACTAATTTAGGAAAACAAGATGATTTCCTAGATAAGAGCCAACACACTAATTAAAGCCAAATTCTGCCCTAAACACAACTTTGTCAAAATCAACACAACACATAAGTTGTCCGCATCCCTTGGACAAGTGTAGAGAAAGGGGAAAGAATCCCACATAGCAAATCCATTCCCAATTGTCACCTCAATAGCAGTTTTGATCTCATCTGGATTTCTGAAAAGACCAAAGATAAATTCATTGTAGAGTCTCCCTACGTTGGAGATGTCTTCAAGGAACAAAGAGCAGAAATGAGCATTTGATGTGGGAGGTAAGCATTTGATGTGGGAGGTGAGCATTTGATGTGGGAATCTTATCTACAGCCCTAAAGCATGAGGTGCAAATATACCTTTCCCTCCTTGTTTGTCCAAGCATTCTGCCCTTGTCAACAATTTTGGAAAGCTTTCAAAGATCTCCTCCAACAGAAAACACAATCAACAGCCAACGGAAGCTGAAGACATCAAAGGGCAAGACTTATCCCGGCCACAAAATACTTAAATGCTCATGACTGTGTCAGTTACTCATGGAATATTATGCTTAAGGATGGCAAAAACTGGCTTTTTCCCACATCCAGACTTCTTCAGCTCTCATGTTGAAGACCATAACTGCTTATGCCCCTGTACAACTTCATTTGGGTTCAAAGAAATAAGGAATTCCAAGTCTAACTTTCTCATATTGATAGGACTTCCTATATTATTAGTAATGGGTAATCATTAGGCATGGTTAGGTTCGGTCGTAATCTTCGTAATTCGGAATAAATTCGGAAATATTTGCTTTTTGAAGCAATTTCGAAGTTTTTAAGGAAACTGGAAGTCTCTTTGCCCTTCCAAAGCTTTTTCCGCCATTTCTGTTCCGAAGCAATAAGTGAGTCGAAAATGTTGTTTCCCCACTTCTGATCCCTGGCCTGGGCTCAAACCCAGCCCTCTTTCTCCCCGTGCGCTTGCCAACGTCGGGGCTCCTCTCTCTCCCAGCGTTGGGAGTGTGCGCGGGAAGAGGCCCTGGGAGACAAACATAATGCTATGATAGATACTAGGCATGGTTAGGTTCGGCCGGAATCTTTGTAATTCGGAATAAATTCGGAAAGATTTGCTTTTTGAAGCGATTTTGAAGTTTTTAAGGAAACCAGAAGTCCCTTTGCCCTTCCGAAGCTTTTTTCACCATTTCTGTTCCGAAGCAGTAAGAGAGTCGGAAATGATGTTTTCCCACTTGTGGTCCCTGGTGCTGCCCCCCCACACACACACACACTTGCCAACGCCGGGGTGTATTTCTCTCCCAGCGTTGGGAAGTGAGCGTGGGAAGAAGCCCTGGGAGTGTGCATCCAGGGGCCATGCTCCACTGCCCGGTCACTGGGCCTCCTCAGCCAGTCGACTTCACTTATGGCGAAACCGCTGCTGGCTGAGTGAAGCGGTTGGCGAGTGTGCCCGTCACTGCTTCCCACCTCCTTCCTCATGCTTCTTCCATCCCTCCTAGACCCAGTTGGGGACCAATGGAGTGTCTGGCCTATACCACACCGCTCCCAAAGGTCACCTTTGGCCTCCATCATGCTGGCCTGCACTGGACACAGGGGATGGCCTCCTTCATCATGCTGGCTTGCACTGGGCATGGAGGATGGACCTCCACTCACAGGGACCTACCTGCCTTCCTGCCTACCTACACTGCCTGGGCCAGGAGGTGAAAACTATTAGTAGTAGGAGGAGTAGGAGGAGTAAGGCTGGGTGGCCATCTGTCAGGGGTGCTTTGATTGTGCTTTCCCTACATGAAGGCAGAAGAGGATTTATTATTATTATTATTATTATTATTATTATTATTATTATTATTGCTTGAAACACCACAAGATGGGTCCACAGCAGACCCTCTGCTGGCTGTTGTATTGGATCACACGTCGGACACTTCCGAAGTGTCTAGGACTGTGTGATGCATTGGCAAATAATGCGTGCAGATCTCAGTAAGGTGGCCTTCTGCAGCTGGCAGATGGTAATCTTGTCAGCGCCGATTGTGTTTAAGTCTATTATTATTATTATTATTATTATTATTATTATTATTATTATTATTATTATTGAGGCTGGGTGACCATCTGGAGTCTGGACAAGTATTTTAAAACAGAACGGTGAGTTTCCTCTCTCTCTCCTCTCCCCTCGCTTCTCCCTGGAGTCTGGCATCCAGCTTCGCTGCACTACACACAGTTGCGCTGAGGAGTTGTGACAGTATCTCTCTGTCATCCTTTCTTTCATTTGTCACATCACTAGCAGGAAGGTTCTGATGAGATAATCCTTCAATGCCTTGCTTTTCAACATGCTAACACCCTGGCCCTTGGGATAGCTCCTTGGATTTTAAGATGGGTTTTTTGGGCAGGGGGGTCACAACCAGAGATGGAATGACTGTGATTTTTCCTGAAATAACTGGTAATCACACAATTGTGTTTGGTAAAGTTGCTCCCAGAAATTTCCTTTTCTGGTGGTTCAGGGTTGGTACCATCCCTACTATCTTTCTCCCACAGTAGAAAACCCTTTCATCCAGGCAGGTCTTTGAGATTTAATCCCAATTTTTACTCCCAGCAAAGGTACATCTGTGCTTGTGTAACTTCCTGTGATCTAGTTCTATTCTAATCTTTCTGTATATTTATTTATTTATTTATTTACTATATTTGTATACTGCTCTTCTCACCTTCAGGCGACTCAGGGGTCATTCACAGAGGCAATGATTCGATGCCCAAGCACATCATAAAACATTTAAAACATTAATACATACATAGTATAAAACCAAACAAAAGTAATAAAAACATAAGACATTTGCATCTCCTAATTAAAAGCATTATTGATACATATATTGTGTCCCTCTTGGCAGTAGGTACTGAAAGCCTTCAGAAGATTTTTAAGACCCAACCGAGAAAGGGAGATGAGTACTAGATCATCTGCATACATCTATCTATATGCATACTCTATGTGTGTGTATATATATATCTGTGTATGTCTATGTATGTATGCTTCACAAAGGCTCCAACATGACCTGATTGGACCAAACTTGGTTCATACTGTTCATTACACAAAATACTGGCGGGGTTTCAAATAGAAATACATCTTTTCCAGGCCCAGAGTTGAGGAAAAGAAAACAAACAAATCGGATTGGCTGTTGTTAGGTGACTTTGTGTATAAAGGAAAGGAAGGTAGAGAAGGAAGGAAGAGAAAAGAAAAGAAAAGAAAGAGAAAAGAAGGGAAGGGAAGGAAAGGAGGGAGGGAAAGAAAAAAGAAGGAAAAAGGAAGGATTTGCGTAGACAATAGGGCTGGGTAACCACGGAAAAATTTGTTTCTAAACTCGATTCGTTTTTAGGGGGTTTTTGCATTTTCGTTTTTTAAAAGAATTCCAAAATTTTTCTTCAAAAAAGTGCGAAATATACGAAATTTCGTAAATTACGAAACAATTATGAAACAATTACGAAACAATTACGAATCAATTCGTTAATGGCGGACGCGATTGCGCAATATGCAAAAAAAACCCCCTCCAAATGGGACAGGGGGAACTCCTGAAGCTTCCCTCTCCCTCTGTTGTTGACTGTTGGTGTGATAATTTATTTTTTTATCACTGATAAAACAAACAACAACCCTAAAACTTGCACCAGACATACAAAAATAATAACGAAACGATTTCGAAATGATTTCAAAACAATTTCGAACCAATTACGAAACAATTACGAAATAAATTGAAAAATTCGTTTCGATTTTTAGTTGCTCCTGCATGGCTCAATATCGGATCGTAAGCTAATTTAAATACGAATCAATAACGAATTACGAAATTAACGAATGAAACCGCCCAGCCCTAGTAGACAAATAACATTATGGTAGAATCTGGTTAACCTTCAATTGTCCAATGCAACATATAAACAAATCATTTCTGGGCAGTCTAGTACAGCACCGAAGCCCACTGAGAATAAGCAGAACGACCCTACTCAGAAAATACCATGTCTTTAGAACCCAAGGATTCCTTATTTCTTATAATTTAAGAAGAAATTAGCAAAGCATTCCTAGAGATGCAAGGATTCTACATTTTTCCTTTGTTCTCCCTCAAAAGGAGCTGAGGGAAGCAGAATTTCGGGCTCTGATGGTTTTGGGAATCATTAAAGTAATTTCGTAGGTGATGAAACCAGCAAATTTTGGTGCATCATAAATTAAGATATTAAAGGGGTGTCGCTCAATGAGTCAGGAAGCCACCAAAACAGTATAAAAGCCCTCGTTGTTCTACAGTCCTCCATCAGCTTCATCGCTTGCCTTCTCTTGCCTTCTACTCATCTGAGCAACCGGTAAGCATGACTTCTTCATTGCATGTCAACCTACATCTCTGGAAAATAGTAGCTCTGGTTTTAGTATAGTTTACTATTCTAAGATCTAAATTCACTATTGTTGTTATTGGTATTATTATTATTACTTGAAACACAACATGATGACTCCACAGCAGACACTCTGCTGGCTGTTGTATTGGATCACACGTTGGACACTTCCCAAGTGTCTAGGACTGTGATGTATCAGCGAATAATGGGTGCAGATCCCAGTAGTGTAGCCTTTTGGATTATCAAATGTCTAGATGTCATCGGGGTTTGTGAAAATTATTATTATTATTATTATTATTATTATTATTATTATTATTATTATTATTTCTATAGTTAATTGCAGCCAGATTAACATTGACTTCTGATCACAGTGACAATGAGCGGGACACATGTGCAAGATAAAATGCTAAAACTCAGGGTGAGATAAAAGAGGAGCAGAATATTTGTGAGGGAGAGCTGATAAAGAAACGGGGTTGTAAAAAATAGGCCTTCAGACAAGCGGGGGAAGTGTACTCCAAGAACAAAAACATTGAGGGGAGCAATTGTGTATGGTTGTGTGGCTACTCTCCGAAGGCTCAACAGAAAAGCCAGGTTTTGACATCCTTCTTGAAGGTTTCCAAGATGGAGGCTTTCCTAATATCTCTGGGCAATGAGTTCCAGAGTTGGGGGGCCACAGAGGCTCTCTCCCTTGTACCCACAAGATGGGTCTGTGATACTGGCAGGGGCAAAATGAGGGCCTTCCCCAAAGATCAAAGAGCTCGGGCTGGTTCATGGAGAGAGATTCGGTCAGGAAGGTATGTGGGTCCCAAACCATTTAGGTAGGGCTTTATAGGTGATAACTTGCACCTTGAATTGGGACAGGAAAATAAATGGCAGCCAGTGAAGCTCCTCAAACAGGAGGTCAACTGTAGGGTTTTGTGGATTCCATCAATGGTGGGCATTGTAGGAGGTCAACTGTAGGGTTCTGTGGATTCCATCAATAGTGGGCATTGTAGGAGGTCAACTGTAGGGTTGTGTGGATTGCACCAATGGTGGGCACTGTAGGAGGTCAACTGTAGGGTTCTGTGGATTCCATCAATGGTGGGCACTGTAGGAGTCAACTGTAGGGTTCTGTGGATTCCATCAATGGTGGCCACTGTAGGAGGTCACCTGGACTCCATCAATGGTGGGCACTGTAGGAGGTCAACTGTAGGGTTCTATGGATTCCAGCAATGGTGGGAACTGTAGGAAGTCATCTGAAGGGTTCTGTGGATTCCACCAATAGTGGGCAAAGTAGGAGGTCAACTATAGGGTTCTGTGGATTCCATCTATGGTGGGCACTGTAGGAGGTCAACTGTAGGGTTCTGTGGATTCCATCCATGTGGGCACTGTAGGAGGTCAACTGTAGGGTTCTGTGGATTCCACCAATGGTGGGCATTGTAGGAGGTCAACTGTAGGGTTCTGTGGATTCCATCAATGGTGGCCACTGTAGGAGGTCACCTGGATTCCATCAGTGGTGGGCACTGTAGGAGGTCAACTGTAGGGTTCTGTGGATTCCAGCAATGGTGGGAACTGTAGGAAGTCAACTGAAGGGTTCTGTGGATTCCACCAATAGTGGGCAAAGTAGGAGGTCAACTGTAGGGTTCTGTGGATTCCACCAATGGAGGGCACTGTAGGAGGTCAACTGTAGGGTTCTGTGGATTCCATCCATGTGGGCACTGTAGGAGGTCAACTGGATTCCATCAGTGGTGACCACTGTAGGAGGTCAACTGTAGGATTCTGTGGATTCCATTAATGGTGGGCACTGAAAGCTTTCTGTTTAGTATCTCATGTGATATCTCTCCTGTTCTTTCAGACTCACCTCTATCTCTCAACACCATGGCCAACTGTGGAACTGCCTCTGCTGTCCCATCCTTTGAAGCCACTCCAACCGTTGCCTTTGGATCCGGAGGCTCCAGAGGACTCGGCAGAGGTCTTGACTGTGGCTATGGCTATGGCTCTGGCTTCGGTTATGGCTCTGGTTTAGCTTCTGGCTATGGTCTAGGGGGCATCATTTCAGATGCAGCCAGTCTGGGAGTCCTCTCTGGAGTGCAGCCATCCTGCATCAACCAGCTACCCCCATCAGAGGTTGTGATCAAATCACCCCCATTTGTGCTCACCGTCCCAGGCCCCATCATCGCTGCCACCCCCGAGCCTATTGAAGTTGGCGGGTATGCCCCATGTGCCGTGAATGGAGTTGGCATTGGTGGATTCGGTAGTGGATATTATGGTGGGCGATATGGTGGATTGGGTAGTGGATATAATGGTAGGCGATTTGGTGGGTTCCTTGGGGATCATGCTGGAGCCCTGGGAGGAGTCCTGGGAGGAAGAGGAAACATCTGTGGTCCCTGCGCGTAAGTTCTTGTAGAACTTCAGCCAGGAAAAGGAAAAATGGAACGTCACACAATGGACCACAATGGAAGACCTGGTTGTAGCTGAGCTAAGCACCCCATTCCTAGGTGCTTAGCTCAGCTACAACTTCTAGTATCACTAGAAATGAGGTCCACCTATCCCTGCCATGATTCTGCCTTCAATCTAAATGCATTCCTCTTTAGTTTCCCTCTCTATGTTCTTATCTTACTCTCTTTACAACACTTCTGCTGTGAAAATTGAACTGTACAAGATCCTCAAACCTCTCCGATGGATGTCGCAATCCAACCCAAGAATGCATAACGTTGAGATGCTGCAAAGAGACCACAGAAACATGTTATGCTAATCTAGATCTGAATGTGATGATCTGCAACCATGTATGGAACGGAAACGCTGTTTATTCCCTTGCATTCTTTGTGACCTATCACTTTCTGAACTGCTCGTGCTCCTTTTGGATTTGCCAGCTTCTAGTCTTTAATAAAATTGGCTTTGCATTATAACAATCTGGTTTTATGGTTTCATTTATGATATCATTCTGAGATGCCTCAGGGAGTTGGGACTTGGGTTGCTCAAAGAGCCAGGTTTTCACTCTTTTTCGAAAGGTCAGGAGGGAGGGGGCTGATCTAATATCCCTAGGCCAAGGGGCCACCACAGAGAAGGCCCTGTCTCTTGTCCCCACCAGATGTGCCTGTGAAGCAGGCAAGATCGAGAGCAGGGCCTCCTCAGATGATCTCAAGTTCCTGGAAGCTTCATAGGGAGACTTTAATTGTGATGGCTCAATGGTATGGAATACTGGGAGTTGTAGTTTTACAAAATCTCAAGCAAGGACTCACCAAATTATAACTCGCTACATTGAGTGACATCCATTCTGCTCAGAGATGTCCTTCACAAATTGTGGTTACTACAACATGGATGGTAGTCTTGTTGTTTGGGCATTATGTCAGGGTCAGATAAGTTTTGTGAAGCCGGAGAAGTCTTTGTGAAGTTTCCTCAACCATATGAGCCAGACGTCCCTATTCTGTTGGTTCTGCTGGACCTCTCAGCAGCCTTCGATACCGTCGATCATGGTAACCTTTTGGAACACCTCAGGGACATGGGACTTGGTGGTACTGTTCTGCAGTGGCTCCGATCTTTCCTTGAGGGACGGTCCTAGAAGGTGTTGTTGGGGGACACCTGCTAGTCCTCACAACCATTGACTTTTGGGGTTCCACAGGGATCTATACTGTCGCCCATGTTGTTTAACATGTACATGGAGCCGATGGGAGAGATCATCCAGAGTTTTGGGTCAGATGTCATCTGTACGCGGATGATGTTCAGCTCTATCATTCCTTCCCACCTGTCACTAAGGAGGCTGTGCAGGTCCTAAACTGGTGCTTGGCCATTGTGTCAGCCTGGACAAGGGTGAACAGATTGAAACTCAATCCAGACAAGACAGAGGCCCTCATGGTCAGTCGAAATGCCAAACAGGAGATAGGGTTACAGCTAGGCTTGGGCGGTTTCGTTCATTAATTTCATAATTCGTTATTAATTTGTATTTAAATTAGCTTACGATCCAATATTGAGCCATGCAGGAATATTGTGAGTAGTAAATTAGATTCGAAACAATTTTTTCAATTTATTTCGTAATTATTTCGTAATTATTTCGAAATTATTTCGAATTTATTTCGTAATTATTTTCGCATGTCTGGTGCAAGTTTTATAGTTGTTGTTTGTTTTATCACACCAACAGTCAACAACAGAGGGAGAGGGAAGCTTCAGAAGTTTCCCCTGTCCCATTTGGAGGTTTTTTTAGCATATTGCACAATCGCGTCCTCCATTAACGAATCGATTCATAATTATACGAAATTTCGTAAATTTCGAAAAAATTTAAAGGAAAATTTCAGAATTCTTTAAAAAAACCAAACGCGGTGGACCCCTAAAAACGAAACGAGTTTAGAAACAAATTTTTTCGTTGTTACCCAAGCCTAGTTACAGCCTGTGCTTGATGGTGTTACACTCCCCTGAAGACACAGGTTCGCAGCTTGGGAGTGATCCTGGACTCATCGCTGAGACTGGAACTTCAGGTCTCGGCGGTGGCCGGGAGAGCTTTTGCACAATTAAAACTTGTGCTCCAACTGTGCCCGTTCCTTAGGAAATCTCACTTGGCCATGGTGGTCCATGCTCTTGTTACATCCCGAATAGACTTCTGCAACACTCTCTACATGGGGCTGCCTTTGAAGACTGCCCGGAAGCTTCAACTACTCCAACGGTCGGCAGCCAGGTTGCTCACTGGAGCGGCGTACAGGGAGCGTACAACTCCTCTGTTACGCCAGCTCCACTGGCTGCTGATCTGCTTCCAAGCACAATTCAAAGTGCTTATTTTTGTTGCACTCCAGCACAGGAAACAGGGCCCTCTTGTCATTAATACACCACACCTTGGTTTAGGAAAAATACAATCCTTTTTATTGAGTGATGAATATAAAATAGATTGAAGTCCAAAGGTAAAAAAGTCAAAATGAAACAGCAATCAGCAATGTCCGTAAAGCTAGCAGAAAATCCAAAGCAGTAATGTCCAGAAAACTCTCAATAGAAATCCATGAACAGATTAGCCCCTGCTAATCTCACTTGAAGCCAGAAATTCCCTTAGAGACCAGACCAATGGAAACTGGAAAACCCAGGAGGTTTGTACTTGATACTAAACAATGCTTGGTCTGAGGAAATCCCCCTCACGGGCACTCTTAAATCCCAAAAACTGATTCTGGCTAACTCTTTTCTTTGGTTTCAGTTGTTGGATTCTCTCTGTGCTGGTATGGCTGTACCAGAAGCTCCAGCTTTATTTGCTTTGTATTAAATGTTTGTTTGCAGTCCAGGGTTTCAGGGACTCTTCCAGGTGCTTGACCGCTGTGACGGTCTGGATGAGGGCGAACAAATTGAAATTGAATCCAGACAAGACAAAAGTACTCCTGGTCAGTCGCAAGGCCGAACAGGGCACAGGGTTACAGCCTGTGTTGGACGGGGTCGCACTCCCCCTGAAGACGCAGGTTCGCAGCTCGGGTGTGACCCTGGACTCATCGCTGAGCCTGGAACCCCAGGTTTCGGCAGTGACCAGGGGAGCATTTGCACAGCTAAAGCTTGTGCGCCAGCTGCACCCGTATCTTGGGGTCTGACTTGGCCACGGTAGTCCACGCTCTGGTTACATCCCGTTTAGACTACTGCAACGCCCTCTACGTGGG